AGGGGAACCTTGAATCACAAGACTCGTTTTAAAGAGATCACCCTAAAATAAAAAATTCTGTCATTAATTACTCACCCTCATGTCGTTCCAAACCCGTAAGACCTTCAACCTAGATATTTTTGTTGAAAAGTGAAATATTTCTGACCCTGCATAAACAGCAACTACAGTGGCGTAGCAGACCATCATTTTATGGAACTATGAGAATAATTTTTGTGTGCAAAGAGAACAAAAATAAGTTTATTAAACAGTTTCTGCTCTTTCGTGTCAGTCTTCGATGCTCATTCACGAGAGCACCACAACGCATGCGTGTTCATTCCTCTGCTTGCAAACAAGGCACAGTGCATCAGGGTTCTATGTCAGAACGCCGGCTCCTGCGTCAGCAACATCACACGCATGCGTCCTGGTACTCTTGTGAACGTGCGTCACATTATGTTAACGATGTCCTTACCTTTCTGGGCCTTGAATGTGGTAGTTCAATTGCTGTCTATGCAGGGTCAGAAAGCTCTGGGATTTCATCAAAAATATCTTAATTTGTGTTCCGAAGATGAATGAAGGTCTTACGGGTTTGGAACAACATGAGGGTGAGTAATTAATGACAGAATTTTCATTTTTGGGTGAACTATCCCTTAGAGTCTAACAATTTTATTGTGTCTTTGTGTATGTACCAGATGTGAATCTGCAATAGAATAGGCCTATAAAAACATGAGAACACACACGCATTATATATATGATAAATCATGGAAGCCCGTTTAGCAGGAATGTTTATAACCTTAACAGCCCAATTGTTTTGTGTTTTAAGAACAACAGTCTTTATTATTATGACTGCATACATAGCATGGCAAGACTTAGTTAGAGAAGAATACTGAATAATAAGGTACCATCCAAGACGGGTTGTGTCTGAACAATACAGAACTGCAGCAAAGTGACAGCAAATCACAATATTCACATGTTTCCACAAAAACCGACCATAGAGGACTTCACAAAACCAACATCAATGAAAAAGCTGCAAAACCTTTAATGACAGACACCAATGCTAAAATCTGAAAAAGATGATGTCATGATCATAAAACCTGAACAGCTGGAGCACCAAGATGAACTTCAACATCTGCCCTGGCAGTTCAATAAGCTGACTTGAATTTGATCAAACCATTATAAATTGTTTTGTAGCGAAGAGTGAGAAGTTGATTCCCTCCTCCAACATCTTTAAAGCAACTAACAGATGTTTTTATAGACACCATTTGCCTTTAATATTTCTTCCAACCTTCTTAGAACACACTCATAAAGGGACAAACAGGAAGGGGGAGGAGACATACACAATTATATATCATTTTTGTTTGTGTAAGTCTCCTCCCCCTTCTTTGTCTGAAGAGAACCAGCCAAAGAACCAGCCACTGATTGATTTATCAAAAAATGGCATTTTAGTCACACAAAGCTCCAGCTGACTCATTCACAAAGGATTACTGCAGCAGTGTTTCTGTTTTGTAAAAACAGGTAAGAACACCAATTCATCACCTGATTATTAATACTATATATATATAACATTGCAATTACAGACATCCCAAATGCATGCCAATCCCAAATGTTTGCATCCACGATTTTAGGGAATAATTCAAAATCTATAATAAACCCAGTTGTGTTTATCTTGCAAGATCAGCAAACCACACTTTGAAACTTGTGGTGTAACGATTATGATGGGGGTTTTCTCTTGTCTGATTTAAGATTATGGTGCAACCTATACATGCAAAATAATGAAAATGTTTTCTCTTTGAGCATTTTAGAAAATCCTGTGGGAACCCATGGCAACTTACTCTTTCTCATTGTAAACAAACAGATCTATTGATAAACAGAACAACTGAAGGAACATTAAAACATTTATCTGTCTTGATTGTAGAATGACCTCCAACACAACTCTTCACCTTCACTCCCATCACCATGCGAACATTAAAGTGGACACTGAAGACATTGTGAATAAGTTCAGCATTGTCTTCCTCACCGTCATTGTTTTCTTCGGCACCACCGGGAACTCTTTGGTCATCTGGGTGGCCGGCTTCCGTATGACTCATTCACAAAGGATTACTGCAGCAGTGTTTCTGTTTTGTAAAAACAGGTAAGAACACCAATTCATCACCTGATTATTAATACTATATATATATAAAATTGCAATTACAGACATCCCAAATGCACGATTTTAGGGAATAATTCAAAATCTATAATAAACCCAGTTGTGTTTATCTTGCGGTTCTTGCAAGATCAGCAAACCACACTTTGAAACTTGTGGTGTAACGATTATGATGGGGGTTTTCTCTTGTCTGATTTAAGATTATGGTGCAACCTATACATGCAAAATAATGAAAATTTTTTCTCTTTGAGCATTTTAGAAAATCCTGTGGGAACCCATGGCAACTTACTCTTTCTCATTGTAAACAAACAGATCTATTGATAAACGGAACAACTGAAGGAACATTAAAACATTTATCTGTCTTGATTGTAGAATGACCTCCAACACAACTCTTCACCTTCACTCCCATCACCATGCGAACACTAAAGTGGACACTGAAGACATTGTGAATAAGTTCAGCATTGTCTTCCTCACCGTCATTGTTTTCTTCGGCACCACCGGGAACTCTTTGGTCATCTGGGTGGCCGGCTTCCGTATGAAGCCCAACGTCACTAATGTATGGCTGGTCAATCTCGCTGTAGCAGACCTGATCTTCTGCTTGACACGAGTCACTTCTCTCATCAAAAGCATTTTCTATGACCACTGGCCTTTTGGAGTTTTTCTCTGCAAGTTCAATGGTTTCTTCAAGTACGCCAACATGTTCTGCAGTGTTTTCCTTCTGGCTGTCATCAGTGTGGATCGAGCGCTCTGCATCTGGCGTCCAGTGTTAACCAGAGAACGACGGACATTATGTGCTGCTCGTGTGGTCAGTGTGGGAGTTTGGATTGTGGCGGTGATCTTTAGTTCACCGTACTTTGTGTACCGACAAGTTTTTCCTCACAAGAACAACTTGAGCCATTGCTCGCTGAAGGTTACTGCATGAATCACCTTGCATATTATTATGAAATTAATTATATAATAAAATATAGCAAATATGTAAATGTGTATTTATAATTTTGTTTTCAGGAGAATGGAGCAGCAGAAGCAGATGGCAATGCAGCAAAGTATATCTACTACTGCATTCGTTTCATCTGTGGATTCTTGTTGCCCTTCCTGGTCATCCTTATCTGTTACATACTAGCTGCTGTTGGGATACGCAGAACACGGCTCTCTGGAAAATCAAGGCCTCTTCGGATTCTTGTCGTATTGGTCTGTGCCTTTTTCTTATGCTGGGCCCCCTACCACTTTATTGGGCTGGTCAAGTTGGTGAATGAAGACAACAAGGCAGTAAAAGTGGGATGGAGTATGGCTTCAAACTTAGCTTATTTCAACAGCTGCATTAACCCGGTTCTGTATTTCTGCATGGGACTGGATGTTAGTCGACGATGCAACCAAAGTTTGTCTGGGATTTTTCACAAAGCTCTTATGGAGGAAGGCCAAAGTCTTTCACAGCAAGGCACTAGAGAAGAAAGCTGTAATTCCATTTCAAAGGCTGCAGACACTGAGTGTGAAACTAAAGTTTAAGATAACTTTTCTTAAGCAAGTTTTTAGATGAGATTGATAGCATGAATATTTTTCTTTGCTGCGTGCACTGTATCTTCTGCAGTTTCAAATAAGAGCCAAATAAGCACATTTACTGTACCATTATTGTCAGATTATTTTCTGGTTTGAAATATATTTAAATATAATTTTGGCTTTGAAAAGGTCAGCCTTTCCCCATACAAATAAATAGGAGCTGTACTTGTCTGCCTATTCAAAAATAAAGTTTAAAATTCAAGGAGATATAATGCATTTTCTCAACTATTGTTGACACAAGTATTTTAACATGACAAGTAATAATAATGACAAAACAAGAACAGAAGTTTAAGTGAACAGCAAATAAAATAACCGTGTAACATTAACCACATAACTTATTTATGCTGCAGTGCATGCACCCTTAACATTTCAGCAATATTGTTCAATATGAAATTATTTGTTACTAGTTGGGACAACATTTAGAGGAATTGTTTTGGTTTGTTGGTTGTTGGGTTTTTATATAGTTTTGTAATAGAAAGTATGGCCTTCTTTAAAAAAAAGTAAATTTTACTTGGTAAAAAGATTTAAAGAATTGTTCAAATGAGGAATGACCATTTCTATGAATAAAAGAGGGAAAGCAAAAACATTCTGAAATGAATATTAGAAAGAGCTGGCATGATAAAACTAAGCGCTGATAAAATTGAATAACTGCAAAAAAATAAATAAAAATGTGTCCAGGGTCCCAAAATACGCCCATTTACTGATATATAAAAATGTAAGCCCTGCTTAAAACTTTTTTTTACTCCATTTTTCTCACAACTGTTTAACACAGGATGTGCCACACTTGCTGACTATGTATTTGAGCTGGTGTGAAACTGTGAAACAAGTCTGTTACTCATGGCCACATGGTGAAATAAATGCTTATGAACAGTTGCAAAGAGACTGCAATGCTAAAAGTGAAATGATATTGCAAAACAGTTACATAGAACTACTAAAAATGTGTTTGTGAAGTGAAGTCATAATGTATTGCAATGCTACAATCAGTGTTGGGTGTAACTAATTACTAAGTAATTAGTTACTGTAATTTAATTACTTTTCCCTTGAAAATGTAAAGTAAGGGATTACTCTTATTTTTTCTGTAATTTAATTACAGTTACTTCTTATGTAATTGAACTTAATACTGTGTATAGACTGTAGAACACTTATATACAATACAATAATGGATGAAAAACTTTTTGGAGAGAGTAATTTGTACAGTAATCTAATTACACTGTTGAAGATGTAATTAGTAACTAGTAATTAATTACTTTTTTAGAGTAACTTACCCAACACTGGCTACAATATACCAAGAGAGAAATTTCACAGAAAATGATTAGATGTAGAATTTTATTGAAAAAAAAATGTGAACAGTGAAATAAACATTTGTGAAGACTGGTATATTTATCTGTGCAGAATTATACAAATATATGTGCATGTGTAAAAAACAACCTTTAATGCTGTTTTAAACTATTAATTTGTCAGTATATTTTTGCTTCTTGCAGTTTTATCTTCTTTAGGTTAGCGACTTCCAACCACTCTCCTGGATTCATACAATCTGTGGGCACACATGTATAATATCCCTGCAAAAGACAATTTTCAAATCATAAACTTTTAAATAAGTGTGAATATTTCTTCTAGTATCAACTAAAAATAAAATAAATACATGAAAGAATAAGCAATTATATTTACTTAGCTCTTTTTGTTTTAACCATTGGTAGGTCACCATATAGTTAATAATGAGAACGGGCGCACTTATATATTTATTGTGCTTGTCATAAAGATGGCTGTAAGAGTGATGCATGAGTTTGGTCTGCATGCACATCCTGTTTTTATTTTTGTGTGTGTGTGACACAACTTTATCAAGAGGTCAATCAAAGTCCTTTGAACCACATCCTCAGGCATATTATTTTCATTCTGTACCACGAGAACATTTCATTACTTTTAAAACTCCATAAAAACTCCCTTTATTATGTTCTAGCATTTGAACTTTTGTGAGTCAATGCAGCCCTTTAAGCAACAGAATGTGCATTATCTACCTTGAAATATCAGTTTCAAAATCGTTCTGATGGCACACTGACTTCTAATAAGGCAAATGGCTTGTTTCTTTTCCACGATTGCTTTACGGCAAAACCAAATGCACATCTACAACTATGCACTGTAATTACGACAGTGTATTCCACTCACATAAGGGGGATCCAAAGTTGCAAAAATACACAGAACTACATAGAGTTGCTTTAAATTGCAGTCTATGAGGTATTCTATCACCTGCAAAGAAGGTCATGAGCATGGCCACCCATCCCAGTATGTAGGACCAGGAGAAGCACCAGTCTCCGAAACGCTTGCCCAGGAAGCTTAGGGTTACACCAGTGTAGATAGCCATAGCCAGCAGCACAAACAGAGCTGTGTGTGAAAAAAGTGATGGATTAAAAATGGACAGAAGAAACGTAGTGCCATCTATATTTTTTACTTTGAGAACAGTTTTTATTTATATTTAAATATGCTAAAATTGCACATTCTACAGCTCATTGTGCATGTTTGTGACTCACTGGAGATGAAAAGCATGATTCCTGTTGCAAAGGAACGACTGAATCTCTCAAAGGCAGAAAAATGGGCAAATGAGAGGATGCCTGCCATGATGCCCGCAAAGCACGCCATTCCCGATAGGATCATGAATGCCCGTGTGGCATTCCAGTATGCTGGGGAAAGAGACAAGAAACGTTCATAAAAACAACAGTCAGGAAGGTTATGTTCATTCTCCTCTCATCCCAGCCAATTCTTATCACTGTTTGTCTGATTTTTCTCATTTGATCTTTGAAGAACTGTCCCTGCAGAATCACCTTGAACGAACCAGAGTACAGCTCCTGTAATCTCAGATGCCAGGGGTACAACTTTGGGAGCACCTGTTCAGAATACGACTGTGCAAGGCTCAGACAACTCAAACCAGAGTATGGAGCTCTGTATGGCAAAAAGAATAAAGCACTGCCATCTACAGGCAAAAATGGTCTAAAAGCTCAAATGCAGGTGCCAGATTTATTGTATAATGATGTTAGGGTCTCTACATCTGACTTTTAACTTCACATTGATTTAAAATAGCCATGAAAAATGCATATTATAGACACATAAAATATGTTTCTGGAGTTTGCATGAAGACATTTGCTTACCTATACTTGCTGTCTGAATGTAGCATTTGTTGGCCATGCAGTACCTCCACAGGCCCTGGTGGGCATAGCTGCCTGAGAGGCGATACTGCATCCAATAGTCTGTCGCTGTGGAAACCACTATCAGGATGTTCCCAATAATGGCACAGAACAGGCCACCGCCCATAAAGCTGTACATCCTGACACACGCTGTGACTATGCAGGAAGGAGATATGCACTAAACAGATAGGAGAGACGTTTTAATTTTACACACACAGATGCTTATGCGCAAACATTCATAAATGGGACATAAAAAAGACTTCTTCAATTAAAACAAAAATATAAATAAAACATCTAAAATCAAAAATTGTTTCTCTTCAAACCAACATTTGGCTAAAAGGATAATTAAATATGAACATGTATTAATATTAGTATATCAAAATAACTTTTTTTTAAGTTACTCAATTTAAACACAAAAAGCATTTGCGCATAGATGTTTCAAAAATAAATTTGCAGAAAAGCATTACGAATTTGGTAGCAATATCTACTTTTTAACCATATTCCTCAAACTTCACAATTGCAGATTTCTTTACACTTACATTAATAATTTTATTTATCATGTATCATGTAGTGTGAGATATACACTAAACAGATAGGAGGAAACAAACTCTTAAACTAATACATAAAAAATATAAATAATACATTTTTTGAAAAAATCAAACTGGTTTTCTCGTCAAACTATGGCTAAATAAAAATGTCCCCATCTTTTAACAAAATGTGTTCAACACAATTAAACATTATATAAAATTAAATAATAACATGTATACATATTCATATACAAAAAAAAATTAGTTTCTCAATTTAAACACAGAAGCATTTGAGCATTTTTTAAATACATTTCCAAAACAGCATTATGAATTTTGTATTATAAGCAATATCTACTCTTTAAAAACATTCCTCAAGCTTTACAATAATAGATTTCTTAATAGTTGCATAATTCATTTCATTTATCAAATTTCTTCACACAAGAAGCTTAAAAATATGGATGTTACAGCTTTTTCTGTATACTTCAATATATTGCAATTGAGAAACTTGTCTTACTTAAACATCCGAACTATTTTTGATATTCCAGGTTAGAAAAAACATTTCTGTAATGTATGTAATGGGCATACTTATCGTAAAATAACTACCAGTTCCATTCACACTGCATTGACGTTTCAATCAATGAATCGAATATTAAGAATTACAGATAAACAAAAAACATCAAAGTTTTTCATCGCTTACCTTGTTGCTTCTGAGGCAAATCCCTCTTTGCTTATCCTCTGGGGAAAGAGGGAGTGAGAGAGTGGAGAGGGAGAGAGAGATATTAAGAGGCAAAAGAGAAAAAGACAACCTCTGTTGCCCTTTTTTGTTGATGGTGGCAAAATCCTTTAAATGCTACCTCCTCTGTCCCTGAAACAAATACACTTGAACTGGTTAGGGCAGGGGCCCTGGTGTGTCCGACTTTTCACTATGAATATGCATGATGTCAATGGTCCTCCTTTTGTTTGAAGAGTAGACTGTTCTGTAGCTGCACATATTCAAAGGATTGCTTTGGTAAAGCTGTCAGTGCAAAATGCTGAGTTGCATGCTTGCTTTGACAGGGGCCACAGCGTGGATACCCATGGCATACCTATAGTTTAAAGTGCAATAAACTCAATGTTTCCCATTCCCAAATCAAATTACTGATTCAATTTCAATATAGTTCAACCACGAGGGAAAATTGCATCTGTAAATATGTGAATGAATCAAGTCAATGCTTATGAACAAGCTTTTTATAGAGAGCCCATAGGAATGCATGTGACTTATTTGATGTGCCAAAAACAGGTTAACTGTATGATTGACAATCACAGCTGTTCAATCAAATCACATGACTTTATTTTTTACAGATTACATTACTGTATACAAATGTACTGTTTAGTGAAATTCCTGCTTTACAACAAAGCAAGCAGTAATACCTCAACAATGCTGCAAAATATCCATCCACCCATTTTCTACACTCTCTTATGGAGTGCTGGAGCAAAAGAAATCCACATATTAAATATTTATAAAGAACACATATATACAATAAACAGAATTAAAACACCTGTTAACAATAAAGACACTGAATAACTGCATGGTCAACAGGACAGTTACCACTCTCTTCAGTTATTCTCCAAAAGCACTAGACACTTGCATTTTAAGAAACCTTTATTCTGTACTACAAATGTCAGGTTAAATAAAACCTTTAATCTTTTATTTTGGGCGTGTCAGTGAATGCTGAATGAAAATGATAAGAAATAACAGAAAAGGCTTGTAGGGAAGAGTTCTAGTGACAATCAGTTTAAAGTATCTTTTGTGGTGATGTTTTGCCAAACATGTCTAAAACTACTTGGATTTGTCCTCCCATAAACATCAGATTTATATTAAGTAACTGGCCACCACACAATTTTCCACATTATTTTAATTCAGAAAATATGGAACCCTTGAGGTATGAGCTGGAACAGCAAAGACTGCATGTGTAAATTCATCTTTCCATGTTGTCAAATGTCTTTGGCTTCAGCTGTTCATTTAATATTATGGTATTTTTAACTATTAATCACGTTAACTTCTCAAACTACGTATATAAAAAATACTGCGTAATTATGACATGGCTCAAAAAAAAAAAAAAGACATTTGGTGTTGATTTCAACAACTCAATTTGCCATACAGCACAGTCTCGTGGCTACAGCAGTGCAAGTTCAGGAAAATAGAGTAGCACTGTTGGGAAAACAACGCTTTTAAAAATGTATGTTTATTAATGAAAACTTGTTACGCGTGTATATCGAGTAAATTCTGAGCATTTATGTAAATTATGTTAGCCAGTTTATTCACATTAGAGCTTAACAAATGTCTATTTCCTATCCACCACTCTTGCATTCGTGTCATGTGGTTTGACCAAAAGCCCGGATTGGATCGCGGGGTCACCTGAGAAAAATCACCACTCGTCATATTCGTTATTCCTCGTGCTGATGTGACCAAAAGGAAAAATCGTATATTTTGTGCACGTTATATGTTTTGAATTTACACACGACCAGGTTCTAAATCGTGGCGAAAACACAAGGTAAGTTTTCAAGTTCACTTATTTATGAAATGAGATTTCGAAGCATCATGCCATTCATCATAAAACTCGCGAGGCTGTAATAGCGATAGGCTAGTTAGATCTAATTTGAACTTCAATTCCCAGTTTCAGCGTTGAAAGTCTATCGCATTAATTTAGACTCCTTATTTGTTCTGTTTCTACCCCGTACCTGCGAAATGCAAGTTCTTTCAGAATACGTACACAACCATGGACGTGTTGTTATATCTATCAACCAAACATGTTTTATTGTTCCTTTATTTCAACCTAAACCGCACTTTGTTTTTAAATAAGGACTCCACTCCATATCTTATTAACGGCAGCGCTACAATGTGGCTGCTTGCGGATGGATACGTGAAGATCGATAGCAAAGCAATACAGCGCGGTTCGCGAAAACGAGATTTTAAAGTTCAAAACGCCTGTAAATAAACTGATAAATAAACCCAGTGTTAACGTGGGAGCAAAAAGTCTGAAAAGAAGCGACTCAACAGGTCGAGAACTCGTCTAGACAGAAGGGCAGGAGTGAGTAACATACGCAACAAAGCCGCGCAGTGAGCACAACAACAACCGGTACACCTTCCTTCTTCCTCCACAGCGGTCTCCATTTTAACTCCTCGCCCAGCCTGCACCTCACGTGTCCTGGACTGTCTTTCTCACATGACCCGTGTGTTTGTCCCCGTGATCAGCACTTCCATCTCCCGTATTTCAAGTGCCGCTGAATATCGCATTTTAAAATCCGTTCGCCTTCATGGATATGCTCGATCAGAGCTTGGACACCTCGACGAGGTGAGAGCGCGTCCTTTGTACTGCCAACCTCAAGGCCCCAGTCAACAATTTTCTGCTGTTTTCATAGTAGGACAGTTAGCAATCCTCTTTTAAGTTTATTTCTTGACTTTTATTAAGTTTTATGCATGCCATTAATATAGTAAGTTAAACGTAAGATACGAAAAGCACGAAGAAAAACAACAGCTCGCAATCGTTTTAACATCGATGGTCGACATATTTATATCACTATTAGCCCGATTGCTAATTTGGTGATTTTTGTCTATCCTTGGTATTTGAAGAAAACACAACTCCAAGCCGGTGTATGTTTGCTTTTAACAATAGTCTTCAAAATTGATCTTTTCTAAAAAATGAAAGACATTTTAACTGATATTTCAAGTAGAAATGTCGTGTGTAAGTTAGTACTGTCGGAACAAAAGCTCTCCAGCAGTTTAATGCATTAAACTCCCTTCAACCTGCAACCAAACTGCAGTCTTTTCGTCCAGAGGCTTTATATGCATTCAGAAGTTTTTGTTTATTTAATCCCGTGGTGTTTATTTGGCTATATATATATATATATATAGAGAGAGAGAGAGAGAGAGAGAGAGAAAACGTTGCTATTGGTATTTTTGAATTTTGCAGACCACTTTAAAAACTGTGAACGGTCTTTAGCGATGAGAAGGGGGGCGTTCACCGTTTGTCCATCAAGTTAAGGAGGCAGATCTTGATGATCTAGGTCAGATTTATATCTAGAACATCTTTTCCAGTCATTTGGAGTTTTTAATTGATTTTCAAATAGTTCAAACGCCTCTATAATTTATTGCATCAAGACTGAATGAAGTAGTTATGTCCGATTCGTTAACGAATCGTTCTTTGAGTCGGATCTTTTCAATGAATCGGTTCGCGATTCTTTCAGAAATCTGCCTGAGCTGTTCTTGAGTGAAAAATAAAAAGGGTATTTAATAGCATTAGGACAAAATTAGTCACATTAAAATAATTATATCTAAATTTAAAACACTTTCTTTCAAAAGAAAAATGTACATTTTATTGTTATTTATAAATGCGAATTATATTCAGGGACTAAAGGATCGAAACATAATTTTAGAGTAAACACTTTTATTGTATATAACATTATTATTTTTTTAGCCAGTGTTATGAATTAAGCATTTAGCAGAAATGACTGCCAAATTTCCATCACTTGAATGTGCCAAAAGCCTATATGATTTTGATCTGTATCTCCACAGTTTCCTTTGAGTAGTTTTGTAACATGACCCAAAACATTTGCTCTTTCTCTTTGCAGTCACGAGAAACAGGAAACAGAGGAGGTTGTTCAGCTGCAGGAGGGTAAGTAAAAACAAGCATGTGCGGATGCAGTGAGTGATGCATATATCCATATACCACTGTTCGTTTGTGGTGCGTTTCTCAGGAGAGGGGGTGGGAGCGGAGGAGCAGGCAGCGGTTACCATAGCGAGTGTCCAGCAAGCAGCAGCCTTTGCAGACCACAATGTTCAGTACCAGTTCCGGACAGAGAACACTGGTGGACAGGTCAGTGTGACCTTTGACCTTTCCAGGGTTCAAACTGGGGTGACTCTGTAATAAAACATGACCTGGAGTACTGTGTCTCAGTAACGGATCTTATGAGAATGCTTTTATGAACATTTTCACTTCATGCTATATCAAAAGAAGAGAAATTCAGTAAAATGACTTCTTAAAATCTGTGTGTGAGCCTTGTGATGGACTGGCCATTCATGCAGGGATTTTCCTTGCCTGTGGCTCAAGACGCTGAGTTAGGCTCCATTATTAGGCAACCCTAATAAGGACAAAAAGGTTTGGATTATAGAATGGATGGATGGACTTCTGAAAAGATTTATTTAAAGATACAGCTCACAACTTTGAAGGCATTTTTAAAATTATTTAAAAATTTCAGAACGAAATAAAGTTGACCTTACAGAACTGGGCTAATAGTACTCAACATCCCACCTATAACTGTTGCGGGGAAGTACAGTTTCATAAAACTTCAATGGCAAATTTTCATAAACAGCCCATTTAAAAATTTTCAGAACAAAATCAAGTTCAAAGAACAAAATAAAAAATGGTCTAAAATTAATTAAATATAATCTAGAATTACAGTAAAATTATACTTTATAATCAAAAGAAGGGGTGAGCCACTGGCTCAAATTACCCCACTCCTACCATCTTAACAAACTTGTATCATCCAGCAGTTTAGAGATAACATCACGCTACATTACTATAGCCTCATATTATAACTTTCTAAAGCACAAACACATGCATGATATTTTTTCAAATTTTTCTGTAATTGTTCAGACACAAAAAGCAAAAAGAGTCCTTGAAAATAAAAAAGATCACTTTGAACAGCAAAAAAACAGTTTTTGAACCTAAATGTAGTTACAAATTATTCCATGGGCCTCTCTCCATGTCAGGGTTAGTAAAATGGCTAACTCCTCAAATATGCGTGGTCATATCACCAATCTTGTTTATGGTTGTCTCGAAACAAGGGGTGGCTCAACTTCCCCACAGGCTCAAATCACCTCGCTCTCCCCTATAGGCATTATTTTAGCTAACTTATATTCTAGTATGTAACATCAACTGTTCATTATAATTCGATTCCTGATCGATAAAATCAAGTCCAATCCTGCTTTTTTCTTTACTGTTGAATATCCTGTTTCATTAAGAAATGTCAAACTATGAAACTAGGTTTCAAATGGGAATTCATGTTTGCTTTAATGCATTTTTGTTATTTAATTCCACATAGTTAGATTATGCAACTTAAAGATACAAAACATTCTTACAAAATGCACCTTTGTGTTCTGACCTGATACAGGTGACATATCGTGTGGTCCAGGTAACAGAGGACCATTTGGAAGCAGCAGGAGATGGAGGAGCGGCAGTCAGTGTAGTGTCCACAGCTGCCTTTGCGAGCGCACAGCAAGCAGTAGCACAGGTGTGTATGGAACAGACTGGATGAAAGCATGGAGTAAAGCAATAAATGAATGCAGTGTCCAATTTGCCTGCACGTCTCTCATATTTCTGTATCTATCTTTCTATAGGCTGTCATCCAGAACCCTTTCAGTAATGGAGGCAGTCCAGTGGGGGAAACGGTGGGGGGAGAGACACGCTTTGCCTACTTCCCAGCAGCAACTGTCAGTGACGGTACAGCTGTCTCAGTGCAGGCCACGTCTGATCCGACCCTCACACAGGCTGGAGGTCAGTTTCACATGCCAAAGTCCAAAAACAATGTTTGCCATTGACACTGAGCATGTGCTTATTGAAATAACCTATTTTACCGGTTTACATGTAAATCAATAACCTGGCAATGCAAGTAAGCTGCATTTAGAAGAATTGTATATGAGTTGTGATGGTAAATTAAGCATTAAAACCAACAGAGTACTCAAATGTCAGTGGGAAACATGCACAGTTTTTACGACTGTACCACTTGTCCTATGGCTGCACGAAATGAGAACATTTTTTAAAATTTTTTTTATAATTTCTTGGGTCAGAAATGATTAAGAATTTGCAATATGTTTCCTCCTCACCACCACAAAACACTCACTGTGGCTGGACGCACTTAAATCTGCCGTAAGGATGCTTTCCGGTCACAGATTACATATGCTATAAACAAACAGAATGCAGGTTAAGGTGTTTACATGCCGGGAGAAATTGGGGTAATGTGCAAAATTCTATGAATCTGTGTCATTTGGTTTGTTTAAGCCGTTTATGACCTTATGAAAAAATAAACCAAATCGGTTTAACACGCATGACCGCTAGGGTTGTGACGGTGAGGAAATTTTCCCACCGGTTAATCGACGTGTGACAACACCGGTAATACCGGTATCACCGCGGGGGCGGGGCGTTCCCTCTTTTCCTCGCTTTACTTCTCTTTTAAATGGCTTGTAAAAGTGGTGTGCTTCACTTTCAAATAGCGGCAATTCGGAGTAAAGCAATTGTTCGTTTGAATTTTCCCTCTTTTCCTTGCTTTCCAAATAGCTTAAAAGCGCCGTGCGCATTTTACTTTCACTTTCGAATTAGCGGCAGTTCGGCGTCAATTGCTTGAATGCAACAAC